CTGTTTTGGGGCCCTTCCCCCGGATTTGGGGTGCTGCTCTGTGCCCCACACTGATCCAGGGACCCCCCCACTTTGGGGTCCTTCCCCCGGGTTTGGGGTGCTCTCTGTGCCCCACTGACCCCGGCCTGGCCCTCGTTAGCTGTGGATTAACGACCCACGGTGGCAGATTAACGAGCTCTGGTGGCTGAACAAGGCCCCGGCTCCTCTGCCCCCCCCGACCCCACTGCACCTCCTTTCACCCCCTTTTCACCCCCTTTTACCCCCCCTTCCCCCTCTTTTTCTCTAATTCGGCTTGAGGGGGGGCAGAGCTGCCATCAGCCCCCCAAAAAGGGCCAAATTCCAGCCCCAACTCCCCCCTTTCATCTTTTCCACCTGTTTTGGTCCCAGTTTTCTGTGGAAGGCCAGGACGGGGGGCCCTCCAACCCACAGGGGTCCCTCACCCCTCAGGAGATCCCTACTCTGAGGGGGTCCCCAACCCTGGGGGGTCTCTGTGTCCTCAGGGATCCCTCACCTTACGGGGGTCCCTCCACCCCCCGGGGTCCCCAGCTCTGTGGGGGTCCCTCGCCCTACAGGGGTCCCCAGTCCTGGGGCAGTCCCTGTGTCCTCAGGGATCCCTCACCTCACGGGGGTCCCTCGCCCTGTGGTGGCCGGGGGGGCCCTCCTGGGTCCCGGCATGGGGGGGACACCCTCCGGCCCCCCAGGTTTTGGGGGTCACCCCGCACCTCCAGGTTCTGGGGGTGCCCCAGGTTTGGGGGCGCAGGCCCCGCGCTAACCCAGCCTTGCTCCTGCAGCGCCCGGGCCGAGGCCGCTCCGCGCTGCGGCGTCGTTAGCGCTGGGGGGGGGATTAATTAATGAATTAACGATTGATCACGAGCGGGGACAGTGACGTCGCAGTTCCACCGAGGACCCGGCTGCTGCCAACCCCGAAAAGTCGCTTTTTCCCCCCAAAACGGGGGCAGGTTCGACTGTCGCCCGCGCCGGCTGTTTTTGGAGGATCCGCCTTAATCTCTTCCCTTCTTGCAGCCGCTGCCAAAATTCGCTATTTTGGGGGGAGGGGAGCCAAGGGCCGATTTAACCAAACCCGAGCGATTCTGACTCTTTTTTTTCCTTCCTCGCTGATAATTCTGATTTTTAATCATAATCTGATTTTCTCACCCCGACACGGCTCAGCTCAAGCGACCTTGACTCTTCCCTCCAGGGCTGCCAGAGCCGCGCGGCCCCCCCAGACAGGGACCTTTTCCTCCTTGAAACTGGGGAAACGGGCAAAGCTGGGGAGAAACGGGCAAAAATGACAAAACCAGGGAAAAAAGGAGCAGAAACGGGGCAAAAGCAGGCAGAAATGGATAAAGCCAGGGAGAAAGGGGCCAAACCCCGAACAAGCGAGGGAAAACGGGCCCAAACTGGAGAGAAACGG